GTAGCGGGCACACCGGTCCACAGATTCACGCGACGGGAGGCTCCATGGCTCGTGGCATCTGTCTACGGGTGCAGTTTATTCTGATGGTGACGATGGCTACGAGTGCAACTAATTGTTGTTTTGCTGACAGAAAAATAAATAAAAGAGGCGAGGTCCTGGTGACAGCGAAACAGGAGTGAGTGTGTGTATATATATATTATGATCCGCTATACGTGTAGCGGAGTCCACAGACTTGATATGTCGATTGCGATATACAGTGAGCGTCTATGCTGGGTTTATAAATAATAAAGATGTGCGAAGCGATGGATGGACAAAACACAAGGATGTACTACACGGGCAGCTCGGTAGTGCACGGAGTTGGTCAGCAGTTCGCGGGAATAGACTGAAAGCATAGCCATTACCCGTTAGAATGATGTACTATATAGTAGTGTGCCATAGTTTGACAAGGAAGAACCTGCCATGATCTGCTTTTCTTTACGGTTTTCCTCTTTATATTTTTTTCACCAAGTCAAAACTAACCTTAAAGGTTTATTTTAAGAAAAAATATTCCAAATTATAGTGTATATCTAGATGCATAAGCAGGAAAGATACAGTGTATACCGAAACAAACACTCTGGCTATTGAGGTGGCTTTTAGAAACAGGAAAGCCAACTTGGAAATGAAGCAAAACTGAAAACATGTTTTGAGGATTTTTTTTTTCTGATTTTTGGTGCGCCGAGAAACTAACAGCTTATTATTGCAAAAATCAATAACAAAAAGTCAATTAGAAATCAAAAGCTAGAAAGTTCTTGAGCTAAAGGCTTAAAAACTAGTACAAGAGTCAAATAAAAAGATCCTGAGCACTAAAAAGTAGAGCAGCGCCCTCAAACTAAGTTTTTGTTTAATTAAAGTTTTTTTTCTCTCTACACATCAAACCTTTAGATACAGTAAATAAATTAAATGTAGATAAAAAAAACTAATTACACAGGTTTGATTGTAAATTACGAACAAAGGCTTAAAAACTAGTACAAGAGTCAAATAAAAAGATCCTGAGCACTAAAAAGTAGAGCAGCGCCCTCTAACCAAGAGCAGAGGTGCTCGTATAACTCAATCAAGCTACAGTAGTCTGATATTTCCAGCTGCAACTGTATTGCGTCTGATATATCCAACGGCCGGCCCACAGAACAAGGACGGGGCCCACATTCCAGGCGTACAGTGGGCGGAACGGAATCCAGGAACCGGGGAGGAGGAAGCAAGGGGCTATTCCCGTCCATTCCTCCCACCAAGCCGCGCCGCTCCAAAAACGCCGTCATCATCACCAGCCGGGTGAAGGACGGGAAAGAAGGGGGACAACGCCCACACCATCACCGAGGGGAATAAATAAAAGAGGAGGGGCCCCTCTATGTTCCCTCAAAAAAAAAAAAAAAAAGAGGGCCGGCCCTGCGTACGAGTAGTAGTACGTGGCGCGGCACGCCTTCCCAGGAGCCCCGCGTGGCAGCCCAGATCCGTGCATGCGATGCCGTGTGCGCACGGCCGGGGGACACGAGCCACCCGCCCGCCTACGCGTGTCCTCGCACGCGTCCCCCAGCCACGGCGCACACACACGGGGGGAGTCTGGCGTGTTTGATCGAGCCCTCGCAGGCAGATGCCTGCCAGTCAGCTCATCCAAATCGGACGTCTGGGACTGACGTGCGCTCTAGCCAGTCTGAAACCAAACAAGCCCGTGCGCGGCGTCCACCTGCCAGACACACTTCTCCCACTGCCCACTGTAGCGGTAGACTGTGTGTGCTGCGTCGCCCTGTCTCTCTCTATACGAGTAGTCTATCGCACCCGCTCTAGAAGGTTCAATGGTGGTGTCAGCGACCTGATTGTTGTATTCTAATCGGGGTTTAGCTGGTCCATTACGATTGTTTAGTCACACGTAAAAGTGATTGGCCAGGCTAGGTGGATGCCTAGTATTTTCAATTGACAGCCGGAAAGGGACACGTTTATCTTTTACGGCTACTCCAACCTCGCAGATATTTTGCTTTGTTTACCGCGTCTTCATGCCATTCAGCGGAGGCACTGGGTGGGCAGTGGCGGCCACTGGCTGAGCTCAGGCCCGCTCAGCTGAGTGGCTTTGGTGGACGCACTGCACGAGTGAACCGGACGTTTTGAATTGGACTATTACTCCTACCAGTCATCCAGTCATTTGAGTCCTAGGATTGGTCCAAATTCCAAACCTCGTTTCATCGAAATCACACTGACCGGTGGTAGTACAACGAGATTTCGCCATTATTTTCAGAAAATAAACCTTTTACAAAAACAGAAAAACAAACCCGTGCCTTGGCAAAACCAGTCCCAGTAATAATCCTACATGCTCCCACGTAATGCAGTGTACTATTGATAAGAGTTCCAGGTACTGTACGTGCGTACTAAAGTCACATCACCCTTCACCTCGGCTCTACTACTCGACCTCTAGTACTCCCCGGATTTCAGACAGTACTCCCACGCAAACATCAAGAGAACTACTAGTACTACTCACAGAGTTTTAGCCGTGGAACGGCCCTGCTTTTTCGATCATACAACAACGTTTTTCTCTTACAATCAATTAATTCAGCAAAACAGCCTAGCAATAAATCATGCCGAAAAGAGCCAAGAGCACACGAAAACGGGTTACGAGTAACGACGCCCGATAATTTCATTTTTCGATCACATTCCATTCACCAAACAGATGTGCATGTTCCGCCAGCATCCAAAGTCACCAAGTGGCAGGAACTGGGAGGAAAAGAAGAAAACGACACGATGTGACGTGACGTGACGTGATGAATTGGCCGTGGCAGACTGCCATCCTGCTCCACCTAAAAGCCAGCCAGCACAGCACACCATTTTTCTCTGAGTCCATGGTTTTCAGCGAACAGATCGTCCTATCCCCGTCGCCTTCCGCCCCACCTCCACCACCAGAGCTGGTTGCTACTCGTACACTTGTATTCTACGGAGTACACGCTTTTCTTCTTTCTAGAACACAGTTACCCTGTATCTCTCCTACATTTGCTCTACAATTTGAGGAAAGAACGTAATTCTAACACAGTGTCATGGTTTTATATCTTAAGTTCTATCAATTATAGATAAAAAGTATTAATATTTATAATATTAAATAAATATTATTAGATTAATTATAAAATATATTTTTATAAATTATTTTGGAGCAGTAAATCTGAATAGTATTTACTAGAAATTTGATTAAACGTGAACTACTTTTGTTGACGTGCAACACTTTTTCTGGACGGAGGGAGTAGTATTACCCCGTCTTATTTTTTTGACTCTTATCACGTTTCATATGGTGCATTGAATGTATGCCTACACCATATGTTTCATCCATTTTTATAACCTATGCAACGAACTATGCTGAATTTGTTTTTGGACCCTTGTTTTTCGTAGTTTGAGAAAAAACAGAAGGTAGAAATGGTTATGTCACATCAATAGGTCCGGTTTTAGAGTCATGTACCATTGGATATGTCGGTGCACTCTAATATTACATAAAAACTACATCATCTTGACACATATTGGTGCATCCATTTCTCCATCATTTTCGCTCAAGCCAAAGAAATCTTATTTCCCTTTCATATCTAAAGCACACCGACCAGCCGACCTCCGAACAATGCCATGGCATCCCTAGTTTTCTATCTTCCCACTGCCAAAGTTAAGTAGCCAAATACACAAGTCAAACCTTCAAGCCATTAAAGAGAGCTATGCCCTATCTCCTCATTGCAAGATCAATCACTATTTCTCCCATATCAAACCTAGATTGAGCTTTACCCTACTAAATTTGAGTTTCTCGGTGGCTAACCTAGTCGCTCGATAGTTCAATTGATCTGCAAGTCACCAAATGAAGTTATTTCACCTAAAAACAAGTCCCTCCTAACCCAAACCTAGGTTGTTGACGATGGTTGATCGAGACTCCGTTAACATAAATTGAGCTTGTTCTTGCTTTTGTGACATGAAGAGAGTAGCAAATCGACCTAAATCCACGCCCCCTCTGGATGTTCTAGACTTGAGGACGGGATCAGATGGGTCTTTCTCCCAGTTTCTGACAAAAAGCCAAAAGACGCACAACCCATGTTCTTGTCCACTACATAGCCTTCAATGTTCCAATCTAACACCTAGCTTGGACCATTTTCACTGCTTGCTTGCTCAATCTATAAATTTCCTGCCTAACAACTCTGCTTCGAGTCGGGTTTAGCCATCAAATAAGGAAGAATGCGATATATGTGTGTCGAGAACTTAGTGCGAAGATGGTAGAACATTACATGGAGAAGGCGACAGACGGATGAAAATTTAGACAAAAGTGGTATATATGTCTAAACATAATGTTTTATAGTGGTATTGAAGTGTACTCGGTCAATTTGGTGGGATATATTTCTAAAATCAAGTCATTACAACATTCTGAGATAAAACTTAAAACCTGGTTGTACAAGCTGGCGTACAGATATTGCAACCGCTCCGTGTTCCTCTAGCCACAGAAGGGATGCCAACAAAACTGCTATTTAAAAATAGAAATATAGCGCGCACACGCAAAAAAAAAAAAAGTAGCAGGAAAAGAAAACCCACAGCAAGGCCGGAAACCGCCGTTGCAGGGGGCTACAAATACAGGAAACCACTCCCCCTCTCTCCCTCCCACTTCCTCGCCTTTCCTCTTCTGCCCCTCCAACCTCTCCTCCTCTAGTCTCTGGTTTGGACAACCACCAAGCCAGGGAGGAGCAGCCAGGAAGCCAAGGACACCGGAGCACGGGCGCGGCCAGCGAGAACGTCCTCCCCTCCCCTCTCCTCCTCTTCTTCCGAGGTCCAACAGCGAGGCATGGTGGAGAAGGCGAGGACCATGGCGCGCAAGCTAGAGATCCCGCAGTGGAAGCCCGACGGCCTCCTGCCGTCGCCGACGAGCCCGCTGGACCGCGCGTGTCGCCCCGCGGGTGGCGCCACCGCGACGCCGTCGGAGGCGTCGGGCTCGGGATCCTCGCGGCGCTGGAGGCCGAGGGCCCGCATCAGCCCGCCGCGTTGGCGGTGCCGAGGGTGTCCATCCCGCGGCGCGCGGCGCGGCTGGAGGTGTCGGAGCTCGGGTGCAGCGGGCGGTGCGCCACCAGCCTGTGCGGCGGCAGAGGCTGCGTCCCGGCGTCCGCCCGGCCCGGCGGCGTTGGCGGTGCGGCGTTCCGCGTGGCGGAGTTCCTGTCGTGCTGCGACATGTGCCGGCGGCCGCTGGACGGGGAGGACATCTTCATGTACCGCGGCGAGCGCGCCTTCTGCAGCATGGAGTGCCGGTACCACGCCATCGTGAGCGACGAGTTCCAGGAGGAGAAGGAGCGGAAGCGCCGCGCCGCCGCCATGTCGTCGGCGGCGGCCGACGTGCCCAAGAAGTCTGCCGCGGCGGAGATGGCCGGGGCGCCGTGCAGCGGCGGCGGGCAGATCTTCTTCACCACCGGCATCGTCGCCGCCTGATGGGCGGACGGACGGATCCATCTTCTAGTCTAGTGATCACAAAAAAATCCAGCTAGAGGAACCGGCGGCCGCTGTAACATAAACATGACAAGAAAAAAAAACTAAAAAAAAACAAGAAGAGAAATAAGGGTGCGTGGGTGGGTGGGTGTGTTTGTGTAGAGAAATGGGTGGGGGAAATTTTGTTCTTCCTCTCTCTTTGCTAGAGGAGGCAGGGGGGTTTATTTGATCTGGATTTTTTTTTGTATTATTAGTATTTAGTACTACTATCATGACGATGATGATGCGCGAGATGAGATGTGTTTTGTAGCAGCAGGAGGGGAAGGGGAGGGATGATGACAAAGTTTTCCAAGGATTGTTGCTTCCCTTTTGTTTCTCTGCTCTGTTCAAGTTCAATCCGTCCCTCTGTCTACGAGTATTTGATCCGGCTGTTGGCTGTTTGGTTTCTGACTGATAAGTGGCTGGTGCTGGTTTTTTGAGAGATCGCTAACCGGGCTGGATGAATCGTCTTGCACTTCCTTTCCGGTTGTTCGCTTTGTACCACTTGATGACGAGCTGAGCCTTTGCTCAGATGGTAAAAGAACTTTTCATCTAGTTTTTTTTAGCTAGAACAGCGTTTTTTTCTATCAAATTCGCTGGAACAGTATTTCGGTTCGTTTAGCGAAGCGAACGGGGCCGCTCTGCTCATCAAGAAACCTGGTCCAAAAATGTTCATCAAGAGTACGAGTACAAAACAAAAGTGCCCTGGTGCTCTGCTCATCAAGAAACTTGGTCCAAAAAATGTTGACGAAGAATACATACAAAACAAAAGGTGATGCCTCGTCCTCGTCGCAAATCATGAGGACCAACAAAATGGCTTGAAGCACTCCCATCTAATTCTGCTTCAGATGGACTCTTGTGATACTTACTAGTTCAAAGAAACCGATTTCAGAGGACAGAGATACCGACGACGAGGATGCCCGTTGCTGGGTTCTCTTCTCCTGGATGCCCAAACAGTCAACACAACGAAACACAGAGCTGCCAGGAGCAGTGCATGTACTGTATATGTTTTAGGTATTATTTAGATTTAGGACGTAAAGTTTTGGATGTCATATATATCGTATGTAGTGTTTAGATATTAATAAAAAAATAAATTACAGAGTAATCCACTAGATGAATTTATTAAGTCTAATCAATCCGTTATTAGCACATATGTTACTGTAGTACCATGTTGTCAAATCATGGACTAATTAGGTTTAAAAATTTTATCTCACAAATTAGTTGTAAACTATATAATTAGTTATTTTTAAATTTATATTTAGTACTATATATATGTGTTTAAATATTCGATGAAACGGGGAGTAAACTTTACTGAGTAACTAAACGGCCTTAATCTGGAGCTGGTCCTGCCGCTGCCTCGTCCGTCCTAGCAAAAGCACCAAGCAGAAGCCGGAGAGGAGAGTTCAAACCAACCAATTGGTGGATGCATCTACCATGCCTGCCACTCTGCATCTACCTGCGGCTGTGGCCTGAGGCTACTAGTACTGGCCGATGGCGTATCCATGGATCCATTGACACTTCTAGTTCTAGCTCGGCCTAGCCCTGATCCATTGACACTCCTCCCATCTCCAGAAGGGGAACGGGAATCGGTGGAGACTGCAGAAGAAAAAGGATGGGAGCAATTTGAGGCAAGCGAGCAGGATGCGGTTCAGTGGATGTGCAACCGGCTCAGTTGGGCTGGCTTCAGTTTCAGTCTCTGAACTGACGGTGGGGCACGTAGATGTTGCACTTGCAGTGTAGCTGCCGCACTCCTGCACTGCTCCATCTTTGGCTGTTGCTGATTGATGCCGTCTGGGGATCTAGGTTTCCAATACGTGTACGTTTATCCTTGAAGAAAACTTGTTCGTTTAGGGATGCAATGAAAAGATTGATTATGATCTGAGTCGAAACAAAGAAGGAACAGCGCAAATTTTTCCCAGGATTATTAGTAACTGTGACAGTAAAGACAGAGCCCACGGGATGATAGCACGATAGCCATGAAGGGTGAAGAAGGCCATTTGATCATACGGTGCACATCAATAAGGTGTTCAAATGAAACAAGGCATGCACAGGCAGGGTCAGTAGATCATACGCCTGGTGAAAGTTGAAGACTACAAGGTGGATCATCCAATCCAGTGTGCTACTACTACATCAGTAATGTGCACAGTGCACACTAAAATTGGAGTGGCCACCGAACCACAGCAGCTTGTTGCACCTCAGGATGCATGCAAGTCATATAGTGCTTTTGTTGTGATTATTGCTCAACAGCAGCCAATGCAATTGCACTTCATTAGCATCAACCGTCTGATATATACTCCCAGCAGGAACTAAGTTCATTTCAGTACTACTACCTTCAACTATCTACTACACAGTAGCTGTTGGGAATGGGAGCTCATCAGCAGCTCCATGCTTCAGGGAGGCCACAGTATATGTGATGATCACTATCAGACTAGCTAGCATCATGATATATACCTGTGGAAGAAGAAAAAAAGTAGTCTTACCTTTAATGATCGTGAGAGAGAAACCAGCACTCCAGCATTGCTATCAAAAGCAGAATGCTGAATTGGCACACCCTTAGGTTCAACCACGTCGCTTTAGTTTGTCCCGTCATTGTCATTATCATGTTATATTTACCCCCTTGAATAGCCACTATATATATACATTTGGTTTATATATCCAGGAAACTGAATAAGTGATTATGATTAGAGGATCAGATGAATGTATAACAATGGAAGAACAATCTGTCCGTAGTAGTGCTGGAATTGGTCAATAATCCTGTCCTGTCAAACCGTATAAATACTAATTACCACTACTGGCGTAGAGTAATCATGAAACAGCGACGGCCTACATTGCTATTGCTATCAAATGGACCTCAACTTGTTATGCTAGTCAATGGTTATACAGCTGCATGGTTGCAACTTGGAAGAAGAAAAATACAGTAGCTTATATTCTTATATCGCGGTGCCCCGTGTTTTCTCGATCGTCTGAATGAGAAATATATACGGCGTTGTTGAAGGTGAAGCAGTGTCCCAGACGCCATGCGCTCATGGACAGAGACGCCAGGTAGTTTACCTTTATATGTATACAATTCTATATATTTTTTTCCAGGAAACGGGAAACCAGTGTTCCAGGCTGATTTTGCTGTGCGTAACTCGTTGGGCCTTGGGACAAGGGCACTTCCCTGGTGTCCCCAGGCACGGCCCGATCGCTTGAACTTAAGAAAGACCTCGCAGCCCACATGAGGAAGGAATGGTAGGGCAGTCCAACAATACCATGGGCCTGGGAGCCCAGCTCAGAAAACAAACAACGTACGAGCTAACGATGGACTGAGCAGGTCGCGATAGAGAAGGAATACCATGGGCCTGAGAGCCTAGCTCAGCAGGCCGCGAAAGGAAACCATCTGTTGCAAACCAATAGAAGCTGTTTTTTTTGGACAACGCTTCTCGTCCCTTCCATAGCGCTACAGTTGAGAGCGGCGACCAGGGGCGATCTCGCGTTCCCCCGTCGATTCACTGTCGCCCTCGTCGGTGTCGGAGGAGGAGGGGGGCTGGATGAATTGACGGAGGATTTGTATATACCCGTACTTATTAGGTTTAGGTTAAATAAGTTAGGGTTATGTTTCCCCATGCCGGCGGTGTGGCGTGGGTTCGTCTTCCCGGACGGCGTCTCCAGCGGGCGACGGCGTGGACGTGCGGAGGACGGCTCCGACATCTACGTCGGCTTCCCCGACTACTTGGTGGCGACCGTACCAGTGAAGAGCACGAGCTCACCGGATCTGGAGTTCTATCCCTCCTCTGGATCTGGTCAAGTTCGCCTTTTGCATCTCCCTCATCTTCTCCGGCGAACTCCTCCGGCGAAGATCTTGGGAGGTATGTCTATCGACTCACCGTGAAACAGGGTTGGTTCTTACCTACCACATGCTCTGGTGGTTTCATTCCCCTTCTGGGTGTGCCGCCATCCGGCGTGTGGGGATTGCTGGTAGCTTTTGAGGCGCCAGATTCCTTGTACTCCGACGATGTGATGGCCGGCTGCCATCTTTTTCGACCTGGGCGTTCAGCAGTCATAAAGTATGTCGTTGATTTCAACATACTGCTTTTGGTGCCAATTAAAGCTTGTGTTCAATCGTCGGGATGGAGGTCGGCTTTAAGCGCCAAGTTGCTCCGACCGCCGGTGACTGTGCAAGGACTATGTTGTAATTTTTCCTTTCTTCAAGGGTGTCTTTGGAATGTAAACTTTATGAAATATATGTGAATACAAACCCGGTTTCAAAAAAAAAAAAATCGAAGCTGTTTTTCCATCGCGGCCTGGGAAACAAACAACGTGCAGGCTACAGAGCACCTGCAGGACGGTACGAGCTAACGAGCAGGCCGCGATAGAAAAACAAAGCTGGTGAATGAAAACGTATGCAGTTTCCTGGCCGGAAGCTGCTTGCTGTTGCTGGCCATCACCGACAAATATTGGTCGGTATAAATAGCTGGCATCGTTTTTTTTTATTTACATTTATTTTGTTTTGGTGTGGACCTTTACTGTGCCTCTTTAAGAGGTTTTAGATTTTTTTCTTAGTAAAAACATTTTAATTTTGGCAAAATTTATATATCAAATAAATGCGCTATAAAAATTTCTTTACGAGAAACTTTATAGTGCTTGGAAGGAAGTAATGAGAGCTTTTGTTTCGAGAAAACTAATGTTAGGAGGAACTCAAGAACTCCTAAAAAATATGGGCTAAGACCTATAAGTAGTGGGCCATGAACTAGTTTTTAACCAAATTAGAAGGGTATAATTGTACTTTTGTATTATAGGAGTTTAGCTTGGCCTAGCCCACAAACACAAAGTCCACGAGACCCATCAAATGCAGCCCAGATTTAACTTCAGTGTCGACATCTGCCCTATCCCCTTCCCTGCCGGCACCCGCCATCCGTGTTCATCAATCACCTATGAATTGATTAGTGGGAGTTTGCTCTCTAAAACCTCATCCTCCTTCCCACTAAAACTTTCACTCCCATGAAACAAACACAAGATTTCTGAACTCCTAACTCTAAATTACATTCCTTTTTTCAATTACCTCCAACTGAGTGTGGTAAAATACACTTAATAATTAGTTAATTTAATTTGATGATCAATGTCTGGTAATATTTGTTTAGGGAGGAACCAAACATGACAATTTTATTTATTTAAATGTTTTTTAAGATTAAGGAATCAAAGCATTCCAGCCTCCAACATCCAACATGCGAATGAGTGTAGAAGTCCAATACAAGTTTCAGGTACTAAGACCGATCCCGTTACAGGGAACAAATACTCCGACAAAAATTTCAACTATGAGCCGATGCAACCACTAGGATAACCTTAAGCTTCAATCCTATTATGGTGTCTCGACCCAAACTTTCCAGTAGACAACATCCTTACTTCATTTGCATTTTCTCTTCCTCATTAACTGTGACCAATGCCGATCCAGTACGCCCCTCTGAAAATGACCTACAAGAAAGAATTAGTTGTTGTTCTGTTAAACACATCATCATTTCTATACAACCACACCACATCGCCGCTACGCCCACTATATAGTTCCTTAGCCAAGACCCAAACAAATGGGCTATATCCTTTGGTGGTTGAAAAATAAAGGTGATGAACCGCAAGTTTCGTATACACCTTGCTATGTGACAATCAAAAGTGGATTAAATGAAACTAGCTTGATTTGTTATTTTTTTTTCATAAACACGATTAATAATGTTATAAAAATTTGACTCGGAACAAAAACCTAAACTATTTTATAGTTTTATAGAACGGAGAGAGTAATATGCATATGCAATACATGATCATTAGGGTTAGGTTGGAAGCTTGGTACCGGGATGGCTGTCTGGCACACAACCTATCGGAGCACGAGATACTCGTGATTCGTTTACAACTGAGATGGAAGTGTCAAAGACCAGGGGCGAGGGCGACTAGCCTTGCCGACGTTTTACGAATTATGTGCCGGCTTAGCTTGAGGTTGGAGCTATGTGCCGGAACTTCCGCGCTCAGCTTCGTTTGCCCACGAGGCCACGAGCCACACCGCCCCACACACCCAGCCTGCTCTCCTGCGGAGCGCGGTCCTGCCTGCACACTCGTGCACTGCCAGAACGGCGGCAGCATACAAGATCTCAAGCATGTACTATATACTAGTAAATTGTAACTTTGGAGATCAGCATTTTAATAGTCCAGGGACATTGATCACATGGTAGAAATGTTGAACTTAATATTTCATATATAACCCAACAGAGACAACCACAAGATAAAGAGTATTAACACAAAAATAAAAATAAAACAATCATACGGGATGAATCTGTGACAACAAATAGCTTTGTGACACACCAGTGCCAAAGCCAAACAACACAGAACATCCCAAAATATGAGCTTGTTCTAGCAACTACATTACAGTTTCATCTTTCTAACATGGTCATTTGGGTCAGGCCACCACAGGTTTGATCAGCCCAACCTGGCCCAGCACCGGTAATCCTTACTCAAGTCCATCATTAGCTACGTCCTTTACATTCGTACAACCTATGTATCCACGCGAAAAACACGGAATGATAGGCCCAAAAAAGAACACTTTGGCACATGAGTGTTGAGTCTCTCTATGATCCTTTACTCTGGTCGTAGGAGTATCGCAGTTTTGAAGATGGTGACGCTGGATTGTCGATCATTGGCTCCCCTCCTTGCACAAGCTCAGATCAGGATTGGCAATCTGAGGTCCCAGCCCGAGCCATGGCTGACCCTCCGCCATCTCCTTCTTCACAGGTGTAGCATCTGAAGGGGAACCTTGGTATGGTGCTTTCGCGGTAAGGCTGAAATAGGGAATACCACAGATTAGAACGTCCTCAAAGAGTTGTACGATTGGAACAACAATTGTGTCATCCCAACAGCAAGAGTAACCTACCGATCCTTTCTCTTCTCGAGGAACCGGCGAAGAGATGCCTTGGGAGCCTGGGGTATATCTGGAACACATACATTTTGGGAACAGTGAGCAAGACAGAAATTAATCATTCAGAGAAACACCGCACACATATGAATAAGGGGTGGACAAGTTAGTAACCTGCCGCACTCTTCTGGGCGTTGACCACAGCAATTGGTGCGGCTGGCACTGCTGCGATCTTGGTGCTGTCAGTAACGGTTGCAACTGTGGGGGAAGGCAGCAAGCCAGGGTTCTGAGCTACAGATGAACCCTTGCTGGCCATTTGCATCAGGTCTTTTGCCTTCTCAGCAGGGAAGTCATCGAACACAAGGACCTTCCCGCCATAGAAGATAGTCAGCTGGCGCTTCTTTAGCTCCCTGAGAATCAGGATGTTTCCAGATGTCAAGTTTGGTAGACAACTTATACACAAGAACAGCTTCTATGAATTAAAATTTTGAAGTTTCAGAACTTGCGTGGCACCAATTTTTCATTGATTAGTTTTGGAGTGCCAGGTTCTACATATTCATGGATGGATTTTCTACCATTCAACCACTACTTCATAGCAAGAAAGTATTGGCACACATCACGGGAACTGTGCTCTGCCACACTTGACCATAGATTGTTTGGTAAAGTCTGCCTTGTAATCTAAGAAGCCCTATGAAAAATACTCTTAAGATATTCAGTTTCAGATCATAAATTAACTTCTCACTATTTTCTGCAGACAAAGATCTGTGCAGTGTGTGATGATCGAACCATCTACATCATATAAAGGATAAGAGCCGTGATCTGAAACACAGCTCGTTGGGAAAGAAAACCTGGCCACCAAGAGCTGCTTGTCACAGCAGTTCGATTGTTTATTTTTGCGTTTTCAGTCATCAATTGAGTACAGCAATAGTATCATAATACTATCATGTATATATTATGTATATATGAACAAGAATGGCTGTGAACCGAAACCGAATGGAACAGAGAGGTATCTGTTTTCGCCAAGTACCTCGCATCAGGGGCTTCCTTCATGGCGGCCTCCGAGTCGAACCCAGCGTTCTGGGGGAAGAGATCCATGGTCTCCTTCGTCGTCTCCCCGCTTTGCGTGTCTTCTGCCGTCGTCCTCTTTGCATCGGCTTCAGCTGAAATCGGAATTGAGCACTCTTCTTCAGCAAAAGCTCAGCACATAATTTTCAGACAGGCTGTCCAGAGATGGACAGGAAGCTATCAGATTCGGATGTTAGAGCTGGCAGAAGCCGAAATTCTTGATCAAAATCAAATAAAAGTGACATTTTTGCTTCCAGATCAAGACTTTGGGACCAGATCTAACATGAGACGACTGCGGGAGCACCTCAAAATAGCAACTTTTAGCATGAATCGCACCCCAATTCACCACTTCTCCCTAACAGACACTGGTAAACTCCCAACAGATAAAGAATACCTACTGAGCTCCTCAAGACCCCAACTTTTCCTCAACAAGAGAGGAGAGTTCACCTCTGATGGCGAGGCCTAGATCGCCTGCGGCGGTACTGTTCTGCCTGACGTAGCGGCTGAGCAGGCTGCAGGCCATGGCGAAGCTGGTCGCCTTCTCCCCGGATTTCGCAGGTGCCATCGTCGCCGCAGGCCTCAAATCTCCGGAAACAGAAGCGAGAGCCTCCGAATCAACACGAAACCTGCTTCAATTTGCTCTATTCCCTCGCCTCGAGGTGCTGTTGTTGCTCTCCTTCTCGGCTTCTCTTTCCCCTTCCTTTGGTCGTCGTCTGGGCGTGCATAAATGAAGAGGCACTGGGCTTTATCTTTGTTTCCGGTTCAGCGATTGCGAGTTGGATTCTTTTCTCCATTTTTATGCTTTTGAGCACGTTCTTCTCGTGGTGGCTGGGAGAGCTACTGTTGGCTCGGAGATGCCCCAGGTGGCAGATTCCTGGTGGTTTTGGGATGGCTGGTGCTCGCTGTTCGGAGCACTGCGCCTGATCGTGGTTGCGATCGGATCGCCGTCGCCTTCTCGTCTTTGCCAGCAGAATCCGGATTTCCTGCGGCGGCAGCAGAAGAGCTGTGTGCTCTCTTATTTATTGGAACAAAAAATGTGTGTGAAGACACCACACATACACAGTATACGCCACCTATGCGCGATAAGTGAACAACAAAATCATCTAGAATCCGGTTGGTTTCTAGCCTCTAGTAATGAACAAAAAAACTACTAGGCTACTAGTTCGTACAACTCGCTTGGTTAGTGACTTAGACTAAGCTGGAGCTGAGCTAGTATTTCAACTCGTCACAGTAACGAACCAGCTTGTGAACACTGAGCCGAACGAGCCAGTATTCGCAGGCTCAAACATAAACCGTTCGTAGGCCACAGGCCCACAACAGCCCACACGCCACGAAGCCATCAGCGTGGTCCTCTCCATAGACCATAGTAGCCCATATCAAGCCTGGCTCACGCGACATCCCAGTCCATCCACAACCATCTGCGACTCCCATCCAGGACCTCTACTTTGTTGACCCGGCCAACCTCGGGCCTTGGCCCGATTTCGCAGGAGCCAGCGACCAACTGCATCCATGCATTGTGGGCTAGAGAGTGTACTACCTTTCGCTACTACTCCAACTGGCGGCGAGCCTTTATATATATATATATATATATATATATTGTATATCGATTTTATCAATGCCCATTGGATTAGATAATGATCATACTACCTTTTGCTACTATTTTTTTTGTAGTGTTATTACACACACAAACAAACACGTGGTGTATGGATTGATTTAAACATGGCTTCTACGTAAAAAGTCGGACTATTGGTGTGCTTGCATGTATACGTGGCCTCTACGTCAAAAGCTGGATACGAATTCTACGTAAAAAGTCGGACTATTGGTGTGCTTGAATGATACGTGGCCTCTACGTCAAAATCTGGATACGAATTAAAAAAACTCAAATTCACGCCTTAAAATTTTAGTGAAATTAACTACAGTATTACATATGACTCAATATAGTAGTTAATACTTTGAGCAAATTATTACAGTAAGATCAACAAACGGGTCTCATGAAACAAACATGAAACTAAAATAATCTATTTGTTATCAGATCTACCCATTTTCTACTAACAGATGATGAATTGAGCTAGAGACATACCCATACCCTACCCTACCTATTTTTATTGGATGAAAAAAATATATTTACCCATACCCTACGCAATGAATTAGACAAGAATTTGAATATGGGCAATATGCACCCACCAACACGTACACCTCGCGTTCTCTATGTCTCGTGTACAACCCCGACTTACAATTCGTGCTTCATACGAGTTACAATACCTCATGTTCTGTGATGGTATAAAAGTCCGATTTGAACATGAACTCTCTTTGTTTTTTTATTTATATGTTGTATTAGCTTTGTCTTAAGTTGACCATTGATTTAAAAAAAGTTATATAGGTTCATGGTCGACATAAGATTTATGTTTTTAGATTTACTATAAGAAATACTTTTATAATATATAATTCAATATTGTGAACTATAAGGGTTTAAAAAATGGATGATCAAAGATATATATAGTAATGCTTGACTTAACAAGAAGATAATGTGACATGTAAAAATGGGGAGTATTCGTTTGCTAACAAAAGAAACAAACTGTTCATGAACTTCCTTAATTATACGATGCGTTTGATGAACGAATCTTCAACATCAGCTGCCTTCCGCGCGCGTGGCTTGGCCAACCTCAAAAAGTGCACCTCATGGCGGCTTGTCGTGGAGAAGATAAACGATGCTGATGAAGAAGTATGTTTGGGTAGGCGCTGTCTCATGTGGCCCAAACTAAAGAAAACATGCCGTCTTATGCAAGAAAACATACCATACAATCCAGTAGTAGAATTCGAAAGTAGCTTGGGACAAACTCTGCGCAGCCCTAGGTCCAGAGCGTACTCGCCCAGGCACAGAAGGTAGCAGGCCGGGACTCCGTCTCCGCGTTAAGGATGGTAATGGGTCGGGTTCAAATCGGATATCCGCGGATTTCGAGTTCACGGGTTTTGGTTTCGGGCTCTGGTTTTCACCCATGGATTTTCGGGTTCGGATACCCAAAATATTGCGGGTTTGGGGCTGATTTTCAATTTTACTCGTGGATCACCATTCGGGGCCCAAAACAATTCAGCCCACTGGAAGCCCATTAGCAACCCTAGGTATATAACCTTCAAATCCCCTCACCCCATCACCCAGTCATTCATCCCACCCACCCGACGGCTGCTCGGGCGTGCTCATCCGCTCGATGCGGCAGCGCCTCACCCTCACCCAGTCTCCCTCCCTCCCCCCCTCTCTCTCTCTGGCATGGCGTCAAATCTGGTGGCCGCATCCTCCCGAATCCGGTGTGGCAGCGAAGCGTTGGTGCCCATGGCAGCGGCTCGGTGGTTGTGGGAGGGAAACACGTTGGTGTCCTCAAGATCCGGGGACCTCACAAAGCGGCAGGCGATCGTGGCAGCGGCGGCAGCGACCTGACATGCCGCTGGTGGGCTGGTGGCCATGGCGTGAGCACGCGGCGGGCGCATCGGGTGTGCGCGAGCGGCCATGGCGGCAACCTCACAGAGCAAGTGGGTGACTGCATCGGCGGGTGGGCAGGCGGCCATGGCCCACATCGCGCGTGCCTCCGATGCACGCAGTAGAGGGCGGAGGCAAAGCAGATGCCGAAGCGGAGAGCGGATCTGCGGAGGCTAACCCAAATCGGGTTTTGGATAATCCGTCGAGTTTTAGGGATCTGCGGGTTTCGGTTTCGGGGATGGATTTTCACCGAATCGGTGTTTGGGGCGAATTCGGTTTTAAGTTCGGATTTCGGTTTTGGGGTGCCCTAACACTCCACCTGATCCGAACCCGCCCCGTTGCCATCCTTACTCCGCATACACCCCACCCAATTCCATTGAGCCATGCGCACCTTCCTCTCCCTGTCGTCCGCCGCGGCGTATGCATTCTTCGTACAAACATGAACACAAGGATCATGCGTGGCCTTGCCTCCCACACCATGCAGTTTTCCTCCTCGATCGACTCTGTAGCAACCATAGAGATTCAGGGGACTAAAGCCGTGTCACATCGGATGTTCGGATGCTAACTAGGAGGAGGAAAATAAGCTAATTATAAAATTAATTACACAAGAGTGACTAATTAGCGAATTCGAATACTTAAATCGCATATTTATGATGTCGTATTCTATCCAACATGGTTGACACTATCCGTATTCGAATTCGAATCCGGACAGAAATATAAAAACAAATATAATATTAGTGATATCCATTTGTACCCGATCCGTTTTCATCCCTATCCAGTCCAAACTCTACCTTTCTCCCGTTTCCATTGAACCGCCGCACGAGGGTAGTTCCGGAGAGAGGAAGCATGTCGTCTTGGCGTCGGCCAGGGCCATGGAGGTGGATGGCGCGGGCCTCGGCGACACGCGTCTCGCCTTCGGGATCATAGAGCGAGATGGTGCGGGCCTCGGCGACCAACCGAGTGGCGGCAGTGCAGGTGCGGACCAAAGCGCCCACGCGGGAGACGGTGTCGACAACATCTTTGCGATGGAACAAGCGTGAGGAGCGCGACGGCCAAACTAGTCCTATAAAAAACCAGAAACTCCTAGTCTTGTTCAAAGTTGTTTGAGATTGAATTGTTAGAATTATATAGTGGACAGCCATATTACAATGCCAAGAGAAAAGCTGCTTTCTTCCGCAGTTTCACAGTTTATTCAGGCTTCTAGTGTCGAAGAGTAAGTTTCGATGCCACGCCTGTTACTGAGGGAACAGAGCACTGGACCGGACACCGCTCCTCACGTGCACGAGCATGACGCTGCCTGCGTGCGGTGGACCGGCGGTTCCCAGCGGCGTGTGACACTGCTGTGACGACGAACGTCAGCTCAGCCTCCCAGTTCTCAGGACGTGCCGCCGTGCTCGATCTGTTGGCTGCCAGCGCAGGACAACCGCTGGGAATGGTCGCCGCCCGTCTCCTTCAACGAGGAAATGAAACGAGCAGGCAGCCGGGCACCCAAAAATATAGGACCCGGGAGAGATTACTTTGGATTTGGGTCAGGGTCACTGGGCTTGGACGAGCCAGGCAAAAGAGAAAATAATTAAAGGAAAAATAATTGGCTAGATAGGCTGCTTTTAGATCATGCAATTTTTAGAAAGAGGAGTATTGGAGCAGTGGCCAAAACTTTTTTTTATTACAAATATTTTTTGAGTTAGTTTAGAGTCTCAAATATAAATTATAATATTTGTTGAAATGGATACAAATGGATCATACCAACCACTTGATTAAGAGTGATTTTGAGCTGGACTGGTAATAAGCAATGATTGAGCGAGGCTTGAGGTTATGAGTCTGATCCTCGTGGCTACATGCACGTGAAAACCACGTGACTTTTGAGCTTCCCTGGGTTAAAAATGTTTTTGCTTTTTTTGTGTGTGTTTGATTTACAAAATTCTATAAAACAATTTCAAGAGGCAACTAGATTTCAACTAGGTGTGGATAGGTTTGGGTCTGTCTCTGAATTCGATTTCTAGATACGGTTGGATATTCACCTCTATAAATTATTGCTCTCTAGAGATATACTTAGTAGAGATGAGCCAAATAGACGCCTCTAAAAATGCTTT